GAAACTATCAACAAAGTAATCAGCAGCCTACTGAATGTGAGAAGGTATTTGTAAGTGATACAACTGATAAGAGCTTAATACCCAAAATATATAAAATACATAAAACTCAATGCCAAAAATAAAAGGAAAATAAAGAAAAAAATGAAGTAATTCATTTAAAAATGAGCAGAGGACCTGATTAGACATTTTTCAAAAAAGTTATATAGATAGCCAATAGACACATGTAAAAAAGGTCAACATCACTAATCATCAGTGAAATTCAAATCAAAACCATGAGATGTCATCTAACACTGGTCACAATGGCTAGTATCCAAAAGATAATAAATATGGGGCACCTGGGTAGTTTAGTTGGTTAAGTGCCCCACTCTTCATTTTGGCTCAGGTCATGATCTCAGTGTCCTGCGATTGAGCCCCAAGTGGGACTCCAGGCTCAGCAGGGAGTCTGCGTGAGTTTTTCTCCTTCCCCCCTCCCTCTGCCCCATCCCCCTCTCTCTCTCTGAAATGCATAAAAATAAATCTTTAAAAAAATTAAAAAGATAATAAATACTAAGTGTTGGCAAGGATGTGGAAGAAAGAGAACCCTCACATACTGTTGGTGGGAATCTAAATTAGTGCAGCCACTGTGGAAAACAGCATGGAGTTTCTTTAGGAAACTAAAAATAGAAATACTGTACAATCCAACAATTCCACCACTGATATTTACTCCCCCAAAACTGGAATCACTAATTCAAAAACATATATGCTCCACTATTTTTATTTCAGTATTATTTATAATATCCAAGATATGAAAGCAAACTAAGTGTCCTTGCACAGATGAATGAATAAATAATATGTGTGAATAATATAATGCAGCCAAAGAAAGACCTTGCCATTTGCAGCAACATGGATGAACCTAGAGGGTATTATGGGAAGTGAGATTTCAGGCAAAAACAAAACCATATGGTTGCACTTATATGTGGAATGTTAAAAACAAAACAAAACAAACAAACAAACAAACAAAAAAGCAGAACCAGACCCATAAATACAGAGAACACACTGGTGGTTGCAGGAGTGGGGGGCAAGGGGATGAAAGGGAGTGGGAGGTACAGGCTTCCAGTTATGAAATGAATTAATCTTGTGGATGAAAGGTACAACACAGGGAATATAGTCTCTGGTATTGTAACAGTTGTGTAGTGAGAGATGGTAGCTACACTTGTGGTGAACAAAGAAAGCATAATATGCAGAGTTGTGGAATCATGATGTTGTACACCTGAAACTAACATAATCTTGGTTATTAACTATACATTTTTTATTGTTTTCCATTTTAATTCCAGTGTAGTCAATGATTCAATTGGTTGATTGATAATGAGCCATGGCACTAGAATTGCAAACTTAGGTAAATTTTCCAAATAATTAGCAATTTGGTCAATTTTTTCAAACAATTCCCAATAATGTCCTAATGTTTTGATACACTATGCTTTAGCTGATAAATACTCCTTTTCTTCCTTGAAAAATATATTTCCTACATTTTTGAAAAACTATCTTTTTCAGGAGTGGCTTAGTCAGTTAAGTGTCCAACTCTTGATTTTGGCTCAGGTCATGATCTCAAGGTCCTGAGATTGAGCCCTGAGTTCGGCTCCACACTCAGTATGGAGTCTGCTGGAGAGTCTCTCTCTCCCTCTGCCCCTCCCCCCTCAAGACACTCTAAATAAGTAAGTAAGTAAATAAATAAATAATAAAATCTTAAAGAGAATTAAAAATGATCTTTTTTCATTTTGACCAAATAGACACTATTGGACATTTTGAGGGTTCTATGTTGTACATAAATTTAGAGGTATGAAGTATATTGATTGCATGAACTGGGAGGTGATGAGAGTAGAACTTTAATACAATTCTTCACCATATGTTTTTTGTTGTTGTTTGGTATTTTTAGCATTACCTTTGATTACTCTCCTGATTCTTTTCAACACTAGTTGAGGTAAATCATGTTGGCAGGAAAGTAGCCCTCAAGATACTGGAAATTCAATCAATGGAGAAAAACTAAATAGAAACACATCTTGGTTCTACCGGAATAGCTACATAGGGCTATCTATAGCACCAACATTAGTTCTGAAGAAAACATTTGTTTAAAGTTATCATTGGACACATTGAAAAATGAAGTACAGAAGTGCTACAGGCTGTGGGTAGCCAGTCCTACTTAGAGAAAGTTATCAAGTTAGATCACAGAGAAACAGGCTCTCTTAGAGACGTCCCCCCCATCCCCTGCCAGGGACTGGAGAAAGGTAGTCATAGGCAGTCATGGCCCATGAAGAAATGTTCTGGATACTGCTCTTGATTGCATACCCCCCCCCAAAAAAAATTAGAGAATACCTGCATTCTGATACCAAAAATCCCATCCTAATGCTAAACTAAGATTTCAGGTAATAAATTATGTCACAGAGAATTTGATTATCTCTGGATGAATAAAGAAGAACATAACAAAACAAACAAGTAATCTAGTTTCTAAACCCTCAAATTTAAGTGTCAGGTCACAAACGAAACAAGTGTATTTTTTTTTTCTTCTTGATGAAATAATTGACCTTGACCAGACAACCTCAATTATCTGACAAACATGCAGAGCCATGAGTATGTAGATGAAATTATTTTTTCTGTTCAGGTTTTCTTGTCCCCAACTTAAAAGGCTAAAGACCTCTTATGCACCATTTATAATTTTTTGTTACTATTATTCTCTAATTCTTCCACAAATGAAACCAATGCCCCATTCTTTTTTTTTTTACCTTTGGCTTTTCTAGCACACACAAGTAGAACAATGATGATTGTAGCAACGGCCAGGAGAAACAGGATAATGACCAACCCCACTGTCCAAGGACAGTCCTTAGGGAACAAGTCATCTGAAAAATAGAGATTGTCTCACTTAATATCCAGGTTGGCATCAATGATTTGGCTGCTGGGAACAAATCCAAAATGTTTTCTTTTAGGAAACATTGCTAGGAATGGCACAAATTCTCTCACCTATCTCTCCTTGCAATTCTACAGAATTCAGGAATGCTAAAGATGCTCTGTTTCCTTTCTTGTTCCTAATGTATCAAGATTCAGAAGGTTTATTTTATAAATCATCACATGTTTTAATATGCAAGAAACATACAAATAATGCATCAGACATCCATGTATCCACAATTAAGATTTAACAAACATTAATACTACTATATTTGTGACAGATAATTATCTCATAATAAAAAATCTACAAATACAATTAACTATTTATTTTCATCCTTTCTCTTCTTTCTCCTACAGTTCCCCAAACTGACTTTTCCATGCATCCTTTCTATCTGGTGATTTTCTACATAAACATATATATGAGCTTGACAATATGCCAATGAGTGAGAGGCCTGTGGGGCTTCTCTAAAGATTAAAGGAGAAATTGTGACATCTTGGATAATAAGCCAAATGGGATTCATGTTCTAGATTCTAGAGACAGAGATTTATTTCAATTCAAAATTTCTTATGAGATATCTGTCAGCTAGCAATTTAAAGCAGCAAAATTGACTATCATTTTGATATTTTTCTATTTTAATGTTGTTCCAAAAGAGGCACCAAGGACACTCTTATTCAAGGACTACCATCATTTAAGATCTCAACAAGATGTCTGTGTAGTTTTTAATTGATGAATTCAAATATATAAGTATAAAAAAACTTTAATATATTTTATCTCATACATTCAGATTTTCAAGAGTCTTGTAATATTGCCCCAACTCATGATTTCCTCTTATATAATTCAACTTATTTTTTCACAATAAAAGCCTAAGTAAGAGACTGTTCATTTCACCTTTTCTAACTTTGTTTTACTAAGATAATTGGAAAAAACAAACAAAGATCCTCTATTCTGGTTTCCATGTTTGTTTCATTCACATTTCCAACCTCAATTCCTCTTTCTAATTATCTTAAACCATTGTGACTTCCCAAATTAAAATATTACACAGATGACACTTTTCTTGTTGATAAAAGGTCATACAAATTTTTATCCATTGTAGAAAAATAGAGCTCAGCATTTTTCTAAGTAATGGGGACATAAAATAAATAAGATATAGTGTCCTCCAGTGTTTATTATTCTATCTGAGGAAATAGTGAAACATATAATCACAGCAATGTATGCATAAAGAGGGCACTTAACACAGAATGGGCTGAAGACCACATCCTGGGAGGATTAGGTTAGTATTGAGGGGCCAGTAAGAAACTCTTAGTGACAGGAAAATGAAACAAATGTGTCAGTAACAGTCTACAAGGGGTATTGCATGGTTAAATATGTTCAGAAAATTAATGTGGGGTAGGAGCCATTGGAAACAAGGAAGAGAGGGATGAAAGATGAAGCTGGAGAGATACAAAAGGTCAAGGGATAAAGAGTGTTGTTGAAAGGCTGTAATACTTCAAATAAAGACAGTTGCATAGACGGGAAGCTGGAGGATATCATTTGGGCAAACTATTTATTTGAAAGATCACTTTGGGTAGGCATAAAGAGTAGACTGGAATGTCTGAGCTGTTCTCTGCCTGTGATATTAATTGTTTTCATTAATACTAATAAACAATTTCATGAGGTAGACCCTAATATTACCTATGTGTAACAGATGGGAACTGAGCACAGGGAGCTCAGTACTTAACCAAGATCAGGAAGCTGGGAAATGGCCCTACCAGGATTCAAATTCAATTGGACAGATGGGAGAAAACACCAAGTTGTGAAAAGTGGCTTTCCCCAGGCAGTGGATCAGGAGAAGTTTAGGAGGAACTTTGAAAGATTCCTCAAATTCCTCAGTTCCTCATTTTTATAAAGTAGGACAATGACATTTCTATCACAAAAAGAAATACAAAACAAGACCAAATATGAATTTTTACAAGTTCTCCACATTAAGAGTTACAAATGGATAAACTAGAACATTCTTCTAGGTCTGTCAGTCATAGGTCTTTGTCAGTAAGATCTTCTCAAATAGCAGTGATATCTCAAGATACAGATTTTGGAGGGAACTGACCTGCCACGGAAACATGCACTTCCTTCTCCACATTGAGTATTAGGTTCCTTACAACACAGGACACATTTGCTGTTGAACTTTTGTCCACTGTGAGAGATGATTCCACACGAAACAGTCCATTTTCTTCTATTGTCTTTGTCTCAGAGGCTGGCATCAAGTGCAGTCCTTGATGGTCCCTCCATCGCAGCTCAGGCTCTGGATACCACCTGGTGGATGTGCAGGTCAACTTAATTTCCTGCCTATTTCCATGCTCAATGTGAACATGAGGAGCCATACCTGAGCCTAGAATAGCCAAAGAGAGACAGAGAAATTACACTTCTCCAAGAGTTTTGTTGCCATTTTACATTTTAATTAGTTTCTTAGGAAACTCAGTTTTCTTATTTATAAAAGTGGAGGTTAGAAAAACAACTAGTCACAAAGAATTTTGTAGAAAACAAATCAGCTGTATCAACATTTAAGAAGTATCCATATGCCAGCATGTCTGTATTGGTTTCTTTTTCCTCTCTCGCCTTTGAAACATAACTGATTATTTTATCTGATAATTCATAAATTTGGGTAGAAGAACACTCTATCAATTTATTTGCAGCCTCTAAAGTAAAAGGCACACATCAGTTAGTGGTTATCTGTGACAAATTGTTAGTCATTCTCCAAATATCTTTAATCCCTAATTCTAAAGAAGTCCTTTTTTTTAAAGATTTTATTTATTTATTTGAGACAGAGAGAGACAAAGAACACAAGCAGGAGGAGGGGCAGAGGGAGTGGTACCAGCAGATTTCCCACTGAGCTGGGAACTTGATGTAGGGCTCCTTCCCAGGACACTGAGATCATGACTTGAGCCAGACACTTAAACACCTGAGCCATCCAGGTGCCCCAAAATGTTATTTTAAGTAAGAACGTTTATAATTTGGGGAATGATACCAACATCAATGTGCTCCAAAGAACTAGGTATGGGTGACTTCTGAGCACCTGAATATTGTTAGGAACTGAAATTCATATTTTAATCAATTAAATTTATTTCAACTAAGTTTAAATTTCAATGTAACATGTGGCTAGTAGCTACCATTTTGGATGGTACAATGGGGAACTTTGGGGAACAATATAAGTTTTAACTGTGGATATGTCAGCCCAGGCTAAGAGTGCTCGTTCCAATCCCCCTTACAATTAGGAGTGACTTTGATATGCTGGTGGAAGTGTTTGAAATGAAAATGATGTGCATGCCTTCTAGAATATTTCCTTCAAAGGAAGGAGGTACACCTTTTCCTTCACTCTTTCTCTCTTCTCAAGGGCTGGAGCACACAGAGTGTCTGTGAGTCATCTTCAAAAGTGGATTATGTGGATATAGCAAAACATCAAGATAAGAAATGTGTGAACCTGACAGTGTCTAGCCATTCTTTCAGTTCTGTGCTCCCTTCTGCCTTTAACTCAGAGAAAAGAAGCTCTGGTTTAAGCAACTGTCTTTGGCAGTTCAGTGAATAGTATGCAACATTCCACACAGTGTTATGTACAGTAACTAATACAATCTATAACAACAACAACAAAAAGATCAAATTACAGGGATCAAATTATCCTTGTTTTGGTTTGAATTATATCTTCTGAAAAGATATGTTCAAGTCCTAACCTTCAATATCTGTGCCCTTATTTGGATACCATTTTGTACATGTAATTAGTAAAGTGGAAAATATACTGGATTAGGGTGGGTCCTAATCCAAAGGGAATGTGGCCTATATGAACAGAAAGAAATTTGGACACAGAGACACAGGAAAGTGACCCTGTGAAGATGGAGGCAGAGAATGGAAAGATCTCAGCACAAGCCAAGGCATGCCGGGGCTACCAGAAGCTGGAAGAAGCAAGGAAGCACTCCCCTCAGATGTTTCCCTGGGACCATAATCTTGATGACAAATTGATTGTGGACTCTGGCCTCCAGAACTGTGAGAAGATACATTTCTGTTGTTTTTAGGCCAGCCCATTTGTAGTAATTTGTTAAGGCAGTCCTTCTATTAGGTTGGCGAAGGAAAATTATCTAATGTCATCTGATGTTGCATGGATGGCCAGACCCTGACAAACACGAGAGGAGGTAGTAAATAGCATGCCGCACCAGTGATGACCTCGTTGGCACAGTGGTGCCCCCCAGTGCTGGTACTGATAAATGGTATTTTCAAAATACAATAGCTTTGAGAATCAGTAGAGCATCATGGTTATGAGGATAAGCTCTAGAGTCAAAGGTTATATTTGTACTAGCTGGCATCAGTGACCCAGTGTAACCAATGACCCAATCACTCTGTGCCTCATCCCTCTTTCGTAAAACAAGGATAAAAAGTGTCTCAAGTCATATGATTGGTATAACGATTGCTTCATATAAACTGCTTACTGGGCTGAAATAAATGAATAATAAATAAATAAATAAATAAATAAATAAATAAATAAATAAATAAATTTTATTCATCTTAAAGAGTTAATCAATAAAGAATACAAAGAAAAGATGTTTTTGTTTTTGTGTTTTTTTGGCTAGGATCTTTCAATATGAAAGGCTATCCCATTGCATTTTATGTATTCAGGCTACCTTCTAAGAGTTGAAGGGAAATGGTATTATGGGTGGGTATTTTCTAAAAACAAAATTATATTTATCAGCTTTTTGTAGAAACACGATAAATATTTCATTAGTATCTGATTTTCTGGAGGAAGAGGAGTGATGTTGTACTTCAAATTATGCCATCCTATTTACCTTATTAAATGTGTGGGCTAAGGGAAAACACAACCTCTGGATACACCATCAATTAATAATAGGAGTGGGAATTAGGAGTGGGGTGTATGGATAATTTCAGAGATTTAAAACATGTATTCCAAGTGTGGTGTTAGCTATTAATGACCTAATTTGCATTATCAAGTCAAAACTGAGGGGTCAAAGTGTAGAAAAGATTGCCAGCAGGAGAAGAAACCAGGTCATGATGGTTGTCCTATTACTGTGGGTTTCAAACTGGCATACTTGAGGCCTGGTTGGTTTCTGACAGAGCACAGGCTGACCTGAATACATTCTTTATCCATTTAAGTGTCTTGGATTTTCATTGTCCTATGGCCAGGGCAGGGAGAGAAAATCTATAGTGTCCATCCTTATGAGACTATCTGATTATGCCACCTAGTATCAGGCCTTCAATTTTATGTCTTATCTCTTAGAAAATATTTTGGTGTGTTTGCAGGCTATACTTGTGGTTGCCCTAATAGCTATTAATTGATGGATTTGCTTACCTGCATCTTGTGAGTGTCAAATTACTTAGATAGTAGAGGGCAATTGATTTTAAGTAGAATTTAATGTTGGTGTTTACTGAGGTTCCGGGTTTCACAGAAATTATATTACCCACACTCTCCTGGATATTTAAATAGCACAGGGAAAGACTTGGTTTTGTTTTGACTAAAGGTATTGAAGAATCTTTTCTTTAGGAGACAGTGTGCAACTGTGGAGCTGTCTGCAGAGACTGCATCTTTATCAGAAACTGGTTACTCATCCTGGGGCAAATATCACTCTTCCAGAATGGAGAAATGGATTAAAGAAATTCATGCCAGAAATAACAGTAATTTTTTAAGATTTTATTTATTTATTGGAGAAAGAGAGAAGAGATAGCAACAGAGAGCACAACTGGGGAGGAGTGGAAGAAGCAGGCTCCCCACTGAGCAAGGACTCTGATGCAGGACTCCATCCCAGGACCCTGGGATCATAACCTGAGCCTAAGGCAGACACTTAACTGACTGAGCCACCCAGGCACCCCAGAAATTACAGTAAGGGAATCAGAAGAAAACCTAAGGTTTCCAGCTAGAGAACATCAAGGACTCTGGAAGAGTCTGGAAGAGATGAAAACTTGTAATGCCACACATTGACACTACTTTTCATTGGGTATAGGTGTTGGACACAAGTGAATCCAACCCAGGAAGAACAACACAAGGTCATAAATAATTCACCTGGAGGAGGTGAGAGCATTAAATCAGCATAGCACTTTATATTCCTGATTTATAATGACTAAGATTAGTAGGTACAAAATGAGATAGCTCCCACATAATCAAAAAATTGTAGCAAAAAGTAGCCCACTTGGAAAACATTTAAAGTACAACCCCCTATATTTAGGGGGCACAGAAGTCTTTTTTTTAAAACCATCTGGATTATTCAGAACATATTTGTGATCACTTATTATGTCAATATTTATATACAAGTTTATGTTTTTTAAGCCAGAGGGAGATACAATTTCCTAAGAATTTGAAAATACATCTCTTCTCATTAATTTGGAATGCATCCCATGAGTGCACTGTGAATGGTTGCATCTGCAAGTATTGTACTTGGAATATAAAGTCCAGATGTTTCTTTTGCCCACAGGGAACATGAAAGCATGAACCAAATTTCTTTGGATATTGTGGGAACTTATGGGTGTAGTAAAGAGGTGGGTGGAATTCATGGCTATTGATGTAATATATGTCCACAGTGCAAATTAAGAAGATCACCATAGGCTTTATCTTCATTTTATTTTTAAAAAAATTGTCCTTGGGTAACCAATACAACTTCCCTTGAATTTATGATTTGGAAAAATCAAGGATGTATCAGATAACCTTATCTACAAGATAAAGGGATTATAAAGTAGATTCTAGAAGTGTATCAATGAACCATTTTTGAAGCTGATAAACTCATGCAGAAAATCAATGTCAGAGTTTAGTGGCAATAGCTTCAAGATTGGAAATGCATTCTTCTAAGGAGAATGGGGTAAAATAGAAGGATAGTGGAAAGTTGTTTTCTATTTAGTGATAGGATAACTGTACAAAGAACAAGTAAGTCTGAGATAAAATTGAGATGACCCTGAAAAAATGACATGCTGTTCACTGAAGAAGCAACAGTAGCAACTGACTCTCAAATTCAAAGCCCTTGATAAGAGCTTACTCAAGGTTTAGGAAATGTCTGTAGAACTTCTAGAAGTGGATGTCCAACACTTGGATTGCTTCAGAAGTTACCACAGTAGAGTGAATGATCCTTGCTCTAAAGGTAAATCTCAGTGAATGGATGAACATAATTTCTCATTCATCCCTGTTAGTGCCTGGTTAAATGCCTCCAGTGGGAGTGACATTCGCTTGTGTGAGGAACTCCAGTATACTTTCCTAAAGATGCAGATTTTCTGGGACATCTGGGTGGTTCACTTGGATAAGCATCTGCCTTCAGCTCAGGTCATGATCCCAGGGTCCTACGATCCAACCCTGCCTTGGGCTCCCTGTTCAGGGAGAAACCTGCTTCTCCCTCTCCTCCCCATTTGTGCTGTCACTAGCTCTGTCTCTCTCTCTCAAATAAATAAATAAAATTTAAAGAAAGATGCAGATTTCTCTAAACCCAGGAAGGAATCTCAGAAAGAGGTAACTATTCTCTCCTTGACTCAGCAGAAATACTATTAGGTGATGTATGGATCAAAGTGTCTGGCAACAAAAACTTTGACTCAAAAAAGTGTTTAAATCTTGCAAGCAAGTCTCTTCGCAGTAGCCCCCTTTATTTTATGAAGAATTATATAGTACCCACCATTTATTATATAAATGTGGATAAAGGATTACTTAGAGCATATGCAGAATTGTCACTAAACAGGAGGCAGGAACATTTGCAAACAGGTTAGGGAGTCCTGGAGGAGAAGATTTTCCTGCCTTTGGGAGGAAGGTCAATATTATTGGCTCCATCTGATGGATTAGGTTAGTTTCTCTTAATATACATTATAAGGAGGTGATACAGAAACTCATCATCTGAACTCAGTCTAAGGCCTTACAATGTTTATAGAGAAAATGCTGATTAAGTCTCAGTGTATGGTTGAATTAGAATCCTAACCTTTCATTCTGGCAGTATAGTTTTTTTTTTTGTTTGTTTTTGTTGTTTTGTTTTGTTTGTGGAAAATATCTGAGAGGGAGTGAGATTTAAGGGGACAGATTATGCAGGGATCTGAACAAACAAGGATGTTATACTGAGAGTCAGCAACATCGCATCTGACTGGACCGTTGCCAGAGTGGGGAGCAGCAAGGTGCAGAAAACGTAGCCTGGTAGCAGGCTGGTGAGATTCTTGCTGCCTCTGTTTAGTTCCTTCTGTGTTTCTGAATAGAGACTAAGATACATTTCTGGGACTCTGCTGAGATAGTACCTACTATAACCCCTGTTCTTTCTTTCCTTCAAAGTAATGATGTTGCAATAGAAAACATGAAAATATATTTTTACTGCAGCCAAAGAATATTGGGATGGATTGATTGATCGGTTTTACATATTTAACTTTCTAGGCATTACATCATAGTATTTGTATAGATTTAGCCACCTCTACCCATATACACAGATACTTCAGACTGTTGATGTAAACATAATAAAATTTGTGTAAGAGTTTTCATTGCAGAGACTCACCTGTGACCAGCACTTGGAATGTTGCCTCATTGTAGTATGTGGAGCTTTCAAAGAAACATGCATACTCCCCTCCATCTGAAGGTTGGATGGGATGGATCCTTAGGGCAACATGCCCTCTGGTAATATTCTCCTTCAGGAACTCTGTCCTCCCTTGGTACTCTGGCCTCTGCTCTTCCATATCATTCTGGGAAGTACTATAACGGTGCACCAGGCCAAAAGGATCATTCCGGTACCATCTCACTTCCATGTTCTGAGCATCCATTGATGGGCTGAGCTGGCAGGACAACACAGCCTCTTCCCCAACCAAGGCAATGACTGGTGCTCTTGGTCCTGTCACATGGAATTGCCCTGGAAGTAATTTTGAAAACAATGGAGTCATCACTGAGACTGTGACAGGCATGATTGTGACCATCTGATCAGTAAACAAGTAGACCACGCTAACTAACTTAGTGAGCTGTGGCCATTTAACGAACAGAACTAAAATAAGGACACACAAATACACTGTTAGTGTAAGAGATAGTAGAGGACATGATGCCAATGAGCAACAGTCACATGATCCCAACAAAAATTTAATTGGGTTTTCCCTTTGTCTACGATTGGAATTCAAATTATATAAATCTCATTCTTTTTGCCTTATATGCATATATATCATATATTATTTTATAACAATATATATTATGTAAATATTTGATATATAATATATAGTTATAGTATTTTATAATTAGTTATAATATAATTAAATATTTATATAATATATATTGTTATAAAATATTATCATTTAACAGATGGGGATATTGAGTCAGTCAATGATTAATTATTGGGTCAGTGATTAATGAATTGAGTGGTAAATTCCTTCTAAATACTTAATGATGAAGGCATGAACTGAGAATTCTAATGGCAACAACCAAGTATTTCCTTGCTTTAGAACATATATTACCTAATATTATATAACTTATAATGAAATATAATCTGAAACTTTCAAAAATGAAGTTTTTGTGTTAAAAATACAGCACTATTTACATATTTTCCCATTTTAGAAAATACGTGTAAGATCCTGTATACAACATAAATTTCCTAGAGTATCACAATAATATAGGCATAATGATCATATATTTATTTGTATAAATACAAATCTTTAAAAAGCCAAATTTTGCCTGGTTTAAATCCTTTAAAGGGCTACATAATCTTTTGTTCTAGTATTGACATTCAGATTTTTCTTTCTTAAAGATCTAGGGCTTTCAGTTTGAAATGGAAACATCAAAAATGATAGCACTCCTGTCTCTGTCACTGTGTATGTTTAACCTAGACACACATGGTCCAAGTTCTAACTGCTTTTGTCATACATCTCAGGAAATTTCTATTTTTTTCTTTTGGATAGAAGCAATGAGCTAAAACAGGTCCCCAGGTACTAGATTAATTTAAAATGATATACAGCAAGAAGTACTGTCAAATTCTTTTACTTAAGGACAAGTTTTCCACTGTATATTTTGAGACATGCATGTAATGGATTGAACCAGTTTGGCTGGAACAGTAGGTGAGATTTCTTTCTCTCTTGCAGTCTCACTGACTGAGTGTTACATGATCAGTTTCATTAGCAGATTGCTTACAGTGGGTATCACAGTCTTGTTTGGTGCTTATTATTCATAAACAATTCATTTCTTTTTTATTGAAGAATAACCGGCATATCATATTGTATTAATTTCAGATGTACACCATAGTGATACACTAAGAAATTTTCACCAAAATGTCTAGTTACCATCACCATACAATGTTGTTAAAATATTGTTGACTATATTTCCTATGTTGTATATTACATCCCCATGTTTTATTTTATAACTGGAAGATGGTATCTCTTAATCCCCTTAATTTCTCATCCATACACTCATTCTCCGACTGATGGCAAACAGTTTGTTCTCTGTATCTATGATTCTGTTTCTGGGGCATTTGTTCGTTTGTTTTGTTTTTAGATTCCACATAAAAGTGAAATTATATGGTATTGGTGTTTTTCTGTCTCACTTATATCTTTTAACACAATAAGTCCATTCATGTTTTCACACACAACAAGATTTTAGTCTTTCTTATGACTATTATTCCTGTGTGTGTGTGTGTGTGTGTAACTTCTTTCTTTATCTATTTACCTATTCAAAAATTAGGTTTTTTCCATATCCTGGCAAATGTAAAAAAAAAATGCTGCAATTAATTTGGAAAGCATATGTCTTTTCAAATTAGTGTTTTTGTTTTTCTAATACTTAGAAATAGACCACTGAATCATATGGTACTTCATTTTTTTTTTTCAGAAACATCCATACTATTTTCTTTAGTATATGAAGCAATTTGCATTTCTACCTACAGTGCATAAGGATTTCCTTTACTCCACTTCCTCACCAACACTGGTTATTCTTTGTCTTTTTAATACTAGCTATTCTGACAGGTGTGAGGGAGTATGTCATGATGGTTTTGATTTGCATTTCCTTGATAGTGAAACTTAGAATCTTTTCATATGCTGTAGACCATCTGTATGTCTTCTTTGGAAAAATGTCTATCCAGGTCCTCTGCACATTTTTGATTCTTATTTTTTCCTATGAATTTGACTAGCATGAGTTTTTCTTATATTTGTATGTATTTGGATCCGTTATTGGATATATCATTTAATAATATCTTCTTCAATTCAGTAGGCTGCCTCTTTGTTGTGTTGGTTGTTTCCTTTTCTGTGCAAAACCTTTTTAATATAGTGTGGTCTTATTGATTTATTGATTGATTGACTGATTTATATTATGTTCATTTAGTCAACATATAGTACAGCATTAGTTTTTGATGTAGTGTTCAATGATTCATTAGTTGCATATAACACCCAGTGCTATTTATTTATTTATTTTTGTTTTGTTATTCTAGGTTGAGTAGAGGTATCCAAAAATGTGATTAAGAATGCTATCAAGGGGGGAGGGAGGCAGGATGGTGGAAGACTAGGGGACCACCCTTCATCTGGTCCTTCGAATTTAGCTGGATATCTATCAAACCATTCTGAACACTACAAGTTTAGCCTGAGATGTAAACAAATATATGTGGAACTCTACAAGCAGAAAAAAATGACTGCTTTTTGCAATGTAGGAGGTGGGGAGTCATGAATCTGCAGGAAGATATTGGAAGATAAATGGAGAGTGGAGGGAGCCTCCATAAGCTGGCTACTGGAAAGTGATATAACAACTGGAGAGCAAAATCGGAACCCTTAGAAATATGCTCCAGTGAGAGATATCCCTTTCTGAAAGGGGCACAGGGGATGGAAAAGGCAGAATTCTAGATGGGTCACTGTGGTCTCAGGATCCCGGGAGACACAGAAAGTACTGTGGTGCCTGAACTGATAGAGTGCCCAAACAGTGGATCAGGGAAACTGGTTATGGTCAGGGATCCCAGGAAGGATTCTCAGCTTGGGTTGCCATAAACCATGAGCGAGGCTGGTAGGGAGATTGCTCTTTGCCTGAGAACCTGGCAAATGACTAGAATGTGCAGGCCAGGTAGCATCCCCTCGTAGGGACAAAATGGCTATGCCCAAGACTGGGCAAAAGTTCTCAGGGTGTCAGTGGCCCTGGAAAGGACAGTAAAGGTGACACCCAGCCATGACCTGGGAGCTGCAGAGTGGGTTGTGCATGTGAGCCCACAAACCTTCACAGTCCCGAAGACACAAAGCACAGAGACATTCGTAGGTCCCTGGGAATCCCCCCAGGAGAATTGCAGTTAGCCTGACCCATGAGTTTCTGGGGAGCTTGGTGCACCCAGAAGTGGAGACAGTTTGACCCATAGAGTTTATTGAAGAGGGGAGACCCCAATCTTGCAGCCCTGGGCTGGAGATCCAGTCATGACCATTTTGGTTCTAACTCTCTGAAGAGGCACAGAAAGGCACCAGGGAACAAAAGCCACACAAAGGGCCAGCATACATTAAGCTTATCTCCCTGACAAGGGGTGAGATAATCCTCCCAGGCAAAGATACCTGAAAAACAGCACAGCAGCCCCCCTACCCCCACCCCAGAAGACAGACTGGAAGAACAGGTGAATGACAAGCTTATGGATCCCAGGAGATTATAACACTCCAGCACCAGGAGAAAATAATATATTGAGCTACAGGTGTTCCCTCATGACTCATTTATCCTTCAGTTTAAAATTTTCCATTATTTTCTTTATCTTTTTCCCATTTCAATTAGATTTTTATTTTACCAGCTTATGTTTTTAGGTCACTTTTTAACTTTTATTTTTTTCACATCTACATTTTAAAGATGTGTGATTCAGTCTAATCCTTTTTTCTCTCTATTCAATTTTATTTATATATAAATATAAATGTTACTTTCTTTGCAATTTTGGGATGTAGTGTCTTCTAACAAAAAGACCAAAACTCAATCAAGAACAAGCAGGCCACCCTGCTTTGTCCACCCTGTGAGCTTATAGTCTCTCTTCCCCTGACTTTTTCTTTTTCATGTATAGTTTTGTTGCATTTGGGCTTTGTGTGATTTTTTATGGCTTCCAACGCTTTGGATTTTTTCTAGGGTGTATTTTGCTTGAGTCGTGGTTAATATTTTGGATTGGGTTCATTGGCTTACCCATCCTTCCATGGGCAGAATAACTGGAAGGAGGAACTCACAACAAAGAAAGGAACCAGAGACAATGTTCCCAGCCACAGAGCTAATTGATATGGATATAAGCAAGATGTCAGAGATAGAATTCAGGATAGCAATTATAAAGTTAATAGCTAGGCTTGAAAAAAGCATAGATGACAAAACAGAATTGCTAAGGGCAGAAATGAGATCTAATCAAGCCAATCTTAAAAATGTTATGAATGAAATGTAATCTAAATTGGATGCTCTAACAGCTAGGGCCAATGAGGCAGAAGAGAGAATAAGTGACCTAGAAGACAGGCTGATGGAAAGGAAGTTGAGGAAAAGAGAGAAATTCAACTACTAGCCTGTGAAGAAAGGCTTCGAGAATTTAATGAGGCCTTGAAATGAACCAATGTCTGAATTATCAGGATCCCAGACAGGGTGGAAAGAGAGAGGGCTAGAAGATATATTTGAGCAAATCACCCCTTAAAACTTCCCTGATCTGGGGAAGGAAACAAGCATTCATGTCCAAGAGGCAGAGAGGACCACTCGCAAAACAAACAAACAAAAAAATAGATCACACCCTGACATATAATAGTGAAGCTTGCAAATCTTAGAGACAAAAAAAACTATCCTGAGAGTAGCTAGGGAGAGGAGGTTCCTTACATATGGAGGGAGGAATATCAGAATAACATCAGACCTATCCACAGAAACCTGGCCAGCCAGAAAGTGTTGGCATGATATATTCAGGGTAATAAATGAGAAGAACATGCAGCCAAGAATCCTTTATCCAGCAAGGCTGTAATTCAAAATG